CTTGCTGCCGCTGGCTGCCGCTTTAATTCGCTGGCTTATGCTCGCTGCCAGTTGCAATTGTTTGTTGCCATTTGCTCGAGCTTGCTGAAGTTTGCTGATCACGGCTGCTCGCGGTGGCCTCTTGTTGCTGCTTGCTGCAGCTTTTTGCTGTTCGCTATAACTTTCTGATGTTTTTCTGATGCTTGCTGTGGTCTGCTGTTGCTGCTTAATGCTGCCTGATGCTGTTTGCTACTGCTTGGTGATTTCGCAGCGGCTGTCAGCTGCTTGCTGCAGAATCTTATTGCTGTTGGCTGCCGCTGGCCGCTCATAGCTGAAGTGGACTTGCTGCTGTTAGATCAGAGAGGGCGACACAAGGCCAGCAACGACCCTACACAAACAACGCGCTAATCACATAAATTCGTATCATATTTTCTCGGCAATGTAGATGAGATGGTGTCTCTGAGCTCTACGTCGTGCCCCACCAACTCGTTGAGCAAGAACAGCAACTGCACGGCACGCCCACTGTTATCGCACGCGCAAATTCCAGAGTGGTAGCTGAGTAGGGTGACCCGTGGACTAGGTATCCATAGCAAGCAGGTGGTGCAACCAATTTTCCGGCCGTCTTGGGTCGTCTTGGCCCGTGCTGCTCGCTGATGCATACTGCTGCTGCTTGCTGCTTCCACTCGCTGCTGCCCGTTGCTGATTGTTGCTGCCGCTCATGCTGCTGACTGCTCCTGCTGCTTGCTACTTTGTGCCCTCTTGGGTTGTCTGGGGAGCATCTTCGGGCATCTGGAGACGTTTCGAGAGCCTGGAAGCCCTGCGGAACCTCGGGTGTCGTGGCGCCCTCAAGAGGCCGTCTTAGGGTGCTTCTGGGTTGTCATAGGAGCCCTTGGAGGGCCCTGGCGGGGCCCTGCGAAGTATTCCTGGGACCATCCAGGGTGGAAAAGCATGGAGACCTTGAGACATCGAAGGCACATTTTGTGTTTTCGAACAACTTCTGCCGTCGTCGCCTACCGTTGGTTCTCGACGGGACTCCAGCGGAGCTTCTTGGACGTCTGCTGGAGCCTCGTGGGGCTGCTGTGGAGGTCGCGGAGGCTTCGTTGGTCGTTCTCAAGGGTTCTGGGTGTCACCTGAGACTTCAGCGGGAGCTCCTGGGACTTCCTGCGAGCCACAAGACTAGAAACAAACAACGAACTGCAAAACCATAAACTGTCGGATCTCCGGGAATTCAGGTGTGTGTGTGTGTGTGTGTGCGCGCTTTTTCGTCTGCGTCTTCGAAAGACATCCTGGGGCGGCCGAAGACGCTTTCGGTGCAGACGCCCTTTCCGCACGCACGGGCCCAGGACTGTAAAGATGATGACGTCGGGCTCCAGCTTCGCCTGCCACATCTCGCTGAACAGCGCCAAAGCCCGCTGCCACTGCTCGCCCTTCCCGCACGCGCTGATCCCAGCGTTGTAGCTGACTAGTGTGAACCCGAAGAAGATCCATGGCTGGCAGGTCAAGATGTCGGTACCGAACGCACGTGTGTCGCCGACGCCTGTGAGTATTTGCTGCAGGCTCCGGGCTCTGGGGCTGGTGGCTGTCTTCGAATGTCTTGGGAGAATCTGGGCTATCTCGGAATGGTCCCTGGAGGGTACTTGTGGCATCGAAGGCTTCCCACAGTCCAGTCTCGCTGCAGCCTTTTGCAGGAAGAGTCGGAGGAGGAGGAGGAGGAGGAGGAGGAGGAGGAGGAGAGCGGCACTGGAGATGGGGGGAGCGCGGGCTCCAGAGAAGGAAGCCGAGGTAAAGAAGATTGCAGAAGGTCCCCCTTGTCACCCCTAATCGGAAGGGGGGGTGTAGGAGGAAGAGAGCAGTCCAGAGAGAGGAGGTGCAGGCTCGCACACGAGGAAGCCAGGGTAGAGAAGAGAGAAGGTCCCCCTTGTCACCCAGATTCGCTGGGGGGAGGCCTGAGACGTGCTGGGGTGCGGGGGACATAGGAGGAGGGAATGAGGCGCATGAGAGGGAGCAGGAGGCCGAGGAGGACGAGAGTAGCTGTGGAGCGACGGCGGTCTTTGACATTCATTTTGGAGGCTTTCGGGAACAGAAAAGGGTGCGGGTGCTGCTGCAAGGGCTCCGACTTGTCTACATGTCCCATCTGCCAACCCGAACTGGCTGTCTGGGGACCCCAGAGTGGCTGGAGCTTGAAGGAAGAGTGGCCAAGGAAACGGATCAGGATGATGATGATGCTGATGATGATGATGCTGATGATGGCGATGATGATGACGAGGAGGAAGAGGACGAGGAGGAGGAATAGGAGTAGGTGTCCGCCTCGAAATGAGCTTTGTCCGCCTCTTCGGGGCGACGAGGAGTAAGGGATCCCTCTCGAGCGTCTGGGGCCGCCTCGCCTGGGTCCCTGGTGGCCATCGTGGGAGTCGTCTGGAACCTTGCCATGACGGGACCGTTCCGCTCGCGCTGATCCGGGTATTGTTAGAGGGAGATTATGTGGAACTCACGTCATTGGCCATCTTGGGGCCACACTGGG